ATATATATATATATATATATATATATATATATATATATATATATATATATATATATATATATATATATATATATATCTTGCTTATATATATATATATATATATATATATATATATATATATATATATATATATATATATATATATATATATATATATATATATATATATATATATATATATATATATATAAGCAAGATATATATATATATATATATATATATATATATATATATATATATATATATATATATATCTTGCTTATTAAAAAAGAATCTGACAAATATTTGAAAAAATATATTTTTAACCTTCAAATTTATTTTTAGTCTCTTCAAAAAGTTCTTCAAACTTTGATTCTTCTAAACTTTTTATTACCAATTTTAGTCTCTGTTGTCATTAAAATTTTAAAATTTAATAAATATACAATTAAAAACAATAATAAATAATATAAGATATATAAATAATTATATTTATATAAATAAATATATTTTAAAAATTTCTATTAAAGGGATACCTTTATTAGAAAAAGATTTGAATGTTGTACTTTTTTGGTGAAACACATACTCGAAAGATTTGATAAGTAATATAAATGACCACAAATGTCATAAGAAATTAAATTTAACGGTGAGATAAATAATATAAAGGCAAAATATCTTTTTTGGTCCTTTAACTTTACTCTTAGGTTCAAATTCGTCCCTTAATTATTTTTTGTGTCAGGTTGTTCCCTTAACTATTTAAAACGTGTCATATTTGTCTTTTTTGTCTAATTAGCGACAGATTTAGCGACGGATTTTTGAATTTTTTTTCGTCGCTAGTTAGACGAAAATGACCAATATGACACGTTTTAAAGAGTTAAGGGATCAATCTGACACAAAAAATAATTAAGGGACCAATCTGAACCTAAGGGTATAATTAAGGGATCAAAAATGGTATTTAGCCTAACATAAATCACCAAACTTGGATTTTCATAACTTATTTCATTAAACAGACGTTTTTAATAGAAAATTAGTCGATCATTATATTATTTTAGACCAAACACATAATATTAATTTTCAACCAGAAAATGTTCAACTCTGAATAACTATATATGTCATAATGAAACAATTCAAAAGTGTAATAAAGAATTTAAATCACTAAATATTGAAACATGTAGATTATTGTACTCTTTTGGACCAAAGAGATACTCGAAAATTTTATTCTGGACCGACCATATTGATCCCCCCAACCAACCACTCAGAAAGTCTCAAGCTTCTCTTACTCGAAAATTTTATTATAGACCGACCATATTAATCCCTGACCAACCACTCAGAAGGTTTCTCTCTCTCTCTCTCTCTCTCTCTCTCTCTCTCTCTCTCTCTCTCTCTCTCTCTCTCTCTCTCTCTCTCTCTCTCTTTCTCATTTGTTCATATATTAAAGTGGGAAAAATTCTCTCTCTCTCTCTCTCTCTCTCATTTGTTCATATATTAAAGTGGGAACAACTCTCTCTCTCTCTCTCTGCATTAAGTGGAAAAAATTCTCTACATTAAAAAAGAATTTTTTCCATATTTTTTTTACAATTTGTAAATATTTAGTGTGGAAATTTCCACACATTGATAATTTCTTTGGTGTTAAAATATTTCACAATGTTTTTAAGATAATTGCAATCTATAAACTTGCAATTACATTTTCACATCAACAAGACAAAGGAAAAGTCAATTTGGTGTTTATTGCACACCAAGGGTTTGACAAATCGTCATAGTCACTTTTTGTTTCTTAATTTCATTAAAATTTGATTATCGAAGTATAAAATTGTTCAAACGTAATTCTGAAAAAGTTATTGATTTTTTTCTCATCGTTGTGGTACGTAAATTTCATTTCGTTACGGTTTAATGCACATATCAGGTTCTTTCTATAACGATTTGGGATAGACAAGTATCGATTTGAAACCGCTTTCACTTGCCATAGAAAATATTTAAAAATGGATTTTTAATCAAAAAAAAAATATTAACGATCTATTCACCCGCTTTAGATTGTTGTCCTCGCCTAACAAGAGTAGCATTTGGAAGAGTGACCTTTTGAAAAGTTTACTGGAAAGCGTGTGAGTGAGGACAAAGTATGATGGAAATACTCATGTGGGTTTGTAGGGTGAGACAGTAATTTTAAAAGCAATCTCGGGAGTTACAAATGGTATCAGAGCCAAACATCTCTCAGTACAATGTGGTTATGGGATGAAACAAGCGGAAGTTGGTGAGCATGTACCACTCGAGGCAAAAGAGGGCGATGAGTGGTTGTAACACCCGAGACTGAAGAGGGCGTGGAGTGGTCGTCCGAACTCATATTGAAATAAGAGGATCCTGAGGTTAAGCATGTATGAGACTACATGGTTGAAGGAAGACGTTATAAGAATTTATTGGTACTACTTATATCAATAAGATGTATCTTCTTTTCATTAGTCTAATAAATAAGAACTTCATAGTTAAATATGTTTGACTTGGAGTAGTATTTGAATGGGTGACCTTTTGGAAATTTTCCCGGAAAGGATGTGAGTGGGGACATAACATACTGAAAAGACACATGTTTGTTTATGGTGTCAGTTGGTAATCCTGAAAGAAGTTTGGGGAGATCTCCTATGAGGGAAATAGTCAGTTGGGAATGACCCTTTCATGTGGAAGACTTGTGAATTGTGTTATAGGTAGTTGATGTTTGACTTTCAGGTGTCCGGTTTATGATTTTTTTTAATTTCCACGTGATTTAGTTTTTGTTAGGCGTTATAAACGCTCTGATGTGGAACATTTGATTTTGTGTTTCTCTAGTGAGGGAAATAGTCAACTAGGAAGGACCTTTTTTGTGTGGAAGACATGTGAATTGTGGTAAAAATAGTTGATGTATGACCCCTGAGTATCCGATTTGTGAAATTTTTGAGCTTTCGCGCAAGTTCGTCTGTGTTAGGCGTTGTGGACAGTCCGATGTGGAAAAAAATTTCATTGTTTCTCCAATGAGATAAATAGTCACCGTGGAAGGACCTTTCATGTGCAAGACATGTGAATTATGATTTAGGTAATAGATGGTTGACTTTCATGTGTCTGTTTTGTGAAATTTTTTAATTTTCACACGAGATTGTCTGTGTTATGCGTTGCAGATGATCCGATGTGGAAAGTTTGATTCAATGTTTCTAAAATAAGAGAAATATTCAGTTAGAAATGACAATTTGTGTGAAAAACATGTAAATTGTGGTTTGAATAGTTGTTGGTTAACCTTCAAATGTCTTAATTTTGAATGTTTTTAAAATGTTTTTTCTGACTAAAACGTTTTAAGGACCGTATTTATTAAAAATTTCTTTGAAAATTTGACTTTTTCAAAAAAATGTCATTTTCTTAGAAAATTAATCCGGACAAAATATGTTTTTTTAGTGTATTAAATTCTAAAATAAATTAGGGAGATTTGTTTATTTTATTTTTTTTTGAAATGCTTAGTTAAAAAAGTAGAGTGTTTATCAAATTTTATATATTAAAAAAGTGATTAGAAAATAATGTGTAATAGTAAGATTACTTATTAAGTCATAAAAAACTCTCATGACAAATGTTTTAAGAGTAAGTGTTAAAATTGTCTTAAAATTAATACATGAAACTAATAACTTCTAGCACATGAGTTCAACTCTACCCAATTCTTTTAATATTATTATGAAATGCACTTAATCTTTTAAACTAATTTTAGAATGCAAAATGAAATGCCTAGCAAGTTTCTGAGGTATTCTAACATGAAAGAGAAGATATTAGGGGAACATGAACCATGAAAGAGAAGATATTATATAGGAACCTGAACCCGATTTTGAAAAAAAGTAACTTAAAATTAAATAGTATGCTAAATAATAATTAATGCAAAAGGATTCAATTACAAATATATAAAATTAGATGACTAAAATTTAAAACTACAATCTTTAACAACTATAATAAATATGATACACTTGAGCCAATCCAATTTTAACATTTCAATACCGTATTTTTACCCAACTTTGTGTATCAGATAAATAAGAACTTACCATTTATTTATACTATGAAGATATAATTTTGTGCAATATTGCATATCCTAATGCACACAAAGTACTATGGTAGAAAGTGAAATAAAATCACAAGCTATGATTAAAATCATGATTAATTTACAGAAAGTTGTTGTAAGATGCTTCAATTACAGTGCAGTTTTCACTAATCAACCAAAAAGATTTCACACCTTTCTTCACATAAAAATATTACAAACAAAATCACTCATAAATTACACTATTTTCTGAAATTCTCAGTGTGTCATACTGCAAAAAATAGCTTTACAGATCCACCACCATAAAAAGCATTATCCTTTTTCAATACTCTAAAACTAAAACTGTCAAAACAATATTATAATAGCTTCTCCAATTTATTTCTATTACTATAATTTGTATTCATCATCAAATCCTTATTTATAGTATATAAAATTTCATGATGTAATTGCACAAGTACCAATGTTTGTTTTTATTATAAAAGCATGTACCTTTTGTTCTTCTTACCAATTATACATCAAACACACACGGCACCTGTTTGTACTAGTCTTCCATGGCAGCTCAATTAAGGTACCACATAGTTTCTTCTATCTTTTCAAACCAAATAACTTGTTTTATACTTTACTTATTATATACAATTAAATGTTATAAAAATTTGAACTTTGCTTATTTTCTTTCATCGCAGTTTTCATCGTTCTTGTGCAAGAAACTTGTTATAAAGCTGCATCAAAGAGTAGAATACTGGTAAGATCTTCATATCAATTTTCTTTTGTAGTTGATTTAGTTGTTGGAAAGATAACGTGTTACTACACTAATGCGTAATACTAAAAAAATGAAATTCATTGAATGTAACCATATGTGTCAGTATTGTGTTGGTGTTGAATACTGAGACATCTCAACACCAGACACGCCTAGAAGATGATATGTATAGGTAACAAGATCAATTTATGCTCGCAGGTTTCATTTTTCATCAGAAAAATATCAATCAAATATATGGATGATCTGAATTGGGATGGCTCAGAAGTTTTGGACGAGAGAGCGCGAATCTTGTGGAATACTCAGCAGCAACAGAACTTAGAAGGATGCTACAACATAACAAACTCTCTTACTCATGAAATACAAGAGATGCATAAGGTTGAAATTGATCATGGTGCATATTCAAATTCTGAAAGAGTGATGATGATTCCGAATAAAAATCTGTTACAGCATGCAACAAGCATGACAGTGAAATCAAAAGCTGGATCCAGCTGGGAAGAGCCTTTAATACAACAATCAGATCAATCCCTTTTGGTCAATAGACATTACAACATGCCAGATTTCAACTTGGCCCACCACCACCACCAACAACAACAACTCAAATTTAACAACTCTTTTGATTGTTTGCTTTCAGATACTAATAGCAACACAGACACTTCTGTTGAAAATGATCATGATGGTGGAATTTCAAAGTTATTTTCTGACTGCAGAAATTTATGGAGCTTCAATTATGTCAGTCCTACATCGTCATCCGGTGAAACCGATAGTAATGTTTCAAAATTTTCAAACTATGAAACGCTGACACAAACACGGGTGTCAGACAAACCTTCAACCAGAAGTGTTGGTTTAAATGGTACAAGTTACGAAGCATTGGGACAGACACGTGCACCAGACACACGTTCAATCAGAAGTGTTAGTTCAAACGGTATAAGTTATAAAACACAGATACAGACACCAGATAAGTCTTTGATCAGACGCGTTGGTAAGAAAGACGTGCGATGTCCATTCAATGTTGAACTTGACAAAACAGTGTCTCAAAGCTCATCAGATCAATACATCACTCAAAGAAAAGCAATCAACTCAAGTACTATTCATAATTCTTCATCTCTTGAAGGTGGTTTTAGCCTTATCACTGATAAACCACCAAAAAGCAAGAAACCGAGATCTGACAAAAGACCTTGTTCAACCAACATAAATTTCCAACAACCAAATTCATCATCATCATCAATATGTTGTTCATCTTCAACCGAAGAGCCTGATCGAGAAGCAATAGCGCAAATGAAGGAAATGATGTATAGAGCTGCAGCATTTAGGCCAGTGAGTTTCGGAATCGACGACATCGATGTGATTGAAAAAAAGCCTAAGAGAAAGAATGTTAGGATATCAAATGATCCACAAACTGTGGCTGCAAGGCAAAGAAGGGAAAAAATAAGTGATAAGATTAGGGTTTTGCAAAAGATTGTACCTGGTGGAAACAAAATGGACACTGCATCAATGCTTGAAGAAGCTGCAAATTATCTCAAGTTTTTAAGGTCACAAATTAAGGCACTTGAAAGTTTAGGTAACAAAGTTAATGCTATGGATTGTAATAATCCAAATAGTATTGCTTTCTCTTTTGATCCTTCTTTTTCCATGCAAATGGTTCCTAGTAGTTACAATCATCATTCACAGGGTTGATTTTAATTATCATAATCATCTCTAATCATTTCATTATTATTAGCAAAGACAATGATTAATGTATCTGATCTTCATTAGTTTTTTAGCCAGAGATGCAAAAGGATTCTACTAATTGTTACAGTAATGTTTAATTATTATCTTTGTTTTGTAACTTTCTTCCGTATGATTAAAATTGCAACAATATTTGTACCGATTAAAATTGCAAAAGTTTTTATTTGGCCACAATACATTTAAAACCTTAAGTTAAAGTGTTATTGGTGCGCTATTATTGTCATTGCATTTTATGGAATAATGTTGATGTAATAGGATGAAGGGGAGTGGTAAATAATTATATTATATTATTTGAATTTATAAATAGTAGAAGGAGTATAATACAATATAATGAAAATATGAAATATATTTATCTCATTCTATTTAATCTTTTAATTTTATTCTACTCAATTTATAAATAATGGAAGGAGCATAATGCAATATAACGGAATAAATTCATATTATTCTATTTAATCTTTCAATTTTTATTCCAATGAATTTATAGTGTATATAATGGAATTGATTAATTTGTTCATTATATTTTATTTTGTGAAATTATAAATAAAAAAATCAACTAATAGAATTGAATCTATGTTTCATTTCATTCTTTCGATTAAATTTCATTTAGCTCTAAAATAGTCCATCAATCGAAACAAAAGCTTTAGAGTTAAAAGTGATTATTGAAATATAAAATTATTATGATGAGTACCCATATCAATGAAATATACTTAAAATATTATATAATAGATTATTGAAAGTGTCAAATTTAATACAATGATGATACATTCTCTTATCCAAGTGGTAAAAACATGTGTCCATTTTTTATACATAAAAATATTAATAAGAATTTTGTATTTTTTAATTTAAAAATCGGGCATTGTCCCGTCTAACATTTTTTGGAGCGTAAGGATGATAATAAACATGATTTGAAGAGAGGATTATAGTACTCATTTTTATATTTGCAATTTGAAAAAAAAATTGTATCCTAACTCATATTTATTTAAATGCCAAAGTTATCACTCATGCTCGTGCTCTATAGATATATAAGTACTCATATCCGTACGGATTATCTGCATTTCTTTTAAAAGTAAATAAATTAATTATAAAATATCATATAAATATAAATTTTTAGAAATGTAAAAAAGTTTTTAAAACAAATGATTGATGAAATAAGCGAACACTTATATTAAATACGTAATGATTTAACATTAATATACTTTTTAAAATAGATAGCATACATTTTTATATAATAATGCAAATTAAAATATATAAATATAAACTAAAATACGTAAGACTATGAGGCGAGATGGATACTAAAATGTCCATATCGACATTTATACCTATTTATGTTTATGAATAATTATCTGAGTTAATGTTCGTATTCATTATTACAGACTTTTATCCTATTTATTATAAATAATTTTGCAGATATTTGTTAAAGACTTTTATCCTATTTATTGTAAATAATTTTACAAATATTTATTAAGAATAAGTCAAATTGTCATTTTTATGGGAACCAGTTAATCTTCTAATATTACACATTCAATTATATTTGTCTCTTTTTTCTTCGAATTTTTGTAATGCAGGGCTAATCGAACAATATACACATTTGTGACCCTACTATTAGGATCATAGACTAATATCAATCTTGAGTTGTGACGGGCTATCCAATATCTATTAGCAATCTCAATTCATTTAATTATTTTATTTCATAGACAAAGTGCTATTAATTATCATAAACTCACTCATTCAATTGTCTTAAGTTTTCCAAACTATTTTATTTTACCTCATTTTTATAAAAGTAGCTTTTTTTAGATGGGACAAAGGAACGAACATATTTAAGAGTATGTCTAAAACTTTGTTCCGTCTCGTTTAAAAGTAATATGAATTTGTGGATATTGAATATTTGAGAGTATGTTTTTTGCAGCTCAAAATAAAGAACTAACATATTTATATTTGAGAGTATGTCTAAAACTTTGTTCTATCTCGCTTAAAAGTGATGTGGATCTGGGATATTGAATATTTTAGATTTAAAAATTATAAAATTATATATAAAAGATTATATCCACAAAAGTTTACAAAAAAAAATAGAGTGAGATAGAATAGTCACATTAAAAACTATGAATCAAAAATTTTGACTCAATTTTATAAAAAAAACAGATAAAATAGATATATATAATAGAAAGACCCGTTTTACAAACCTAGGTAAATGTCTGGCCTCTTTCAAAGTAAAAACATGTAAACATCTCAAATTCAATTTTAATATGTACAATCAAACTTGCAATGATCAATCAAAATCATATTTATGAAACGTTCATTTGAGGACAAGCTGTCATTAATTGATTATGACAAAAACTAGTGAAAATAATTGACATGGCTGACCATACCTTTTAAGTAGCATGCAGAAAGGTCTAGAAATTAATTAAAATCTCTTATTATATACATTAAGCTAGAAAGTGATTGTCACTTTAAGTTGCATTTTTCTTGAAAACCATAATTAGTTTTTTAATTAATGTGCTTTATTAGCTAACCAATGCTAAAAAAACATTCTCTTAAGATTAGTGTGCAAAATCAGTGGTCCTGTCTCCTTAATTCAACCCAAAGCGTGCTATTGAAAATCACTCCAAAACGCATTGCCAGGCATGTGCATATTCTTCTTTTTTGGCATAAGTGTTTGTCACGAACAATTATATATGTGTTGTGTTTAGATGAATCAAGTTTATCAAATAATGTAACTAATGATATTGCTAATCATGATGGTTATGATAACGACGGCTAGAACAAAACGTGATTAATTTAATTTAATTTAGTTTAACTCAAATATCTTCACTATGCATGTCTTAAATTGTGCTACTGTTACTTTATCTGCATGCGGTGTTTTTTGCAGCTCAAAATTAGGGATGGCAACGGGGCGGGTCGGGGGCGGGTTTTACTATACCCGCACCCGCACCCGCTTTCATGTAACACACCCGCCCCCGCCCCTAAACCCGACCGGGGGTAAAAATTTACCACCCAGACCCGCCCCCAGTAGAAAACAGGTGCACCCGCACCCGCCCCGCCCCCACCCGAAAAAAAAAATTTATTTTTAATTACAATAAAAAATAATAACTTAATTAAAAAATTAATTATTTTAATAAATAAATTATTTATTTAATTAAAATTTTAATTAGTAAATGAATATTAACTTGATTAATTTATTTATTTTAATTGCAATAAATGTATTAATAATTTAATTAAAAATATAATTAATAAATAAATATTAAAATAAGTAAAATAAAAGAATTAAATTAAAATAAATTATTCGGGTGCGGGGCGGGGCCGGGTTCGGGCGGGTCTTAGTGTCTACCCGCACCCGTACCCGCACCCGTAATTAAAAATCAGATTTTCCCCGCACCCGCACCCGTACCCACTCAAACCGGGTTTTCCCCGCTAATTTCGGGGTGGGTCCGGGCGGGCCCCGACGGGTCCGGGTTTTTTTTGCCATGCCTACTCAAAATAAAGTATCTGTGAGTAGCCGTGTCCACTACTTTTAACCTTAGACAAAAACAATTAGATTCTTATTTGATTGACCGTAATTCCCAATATTATCTTGTAGTTTCATATTTAGTTAGACTTGTTAAAATAGGTTATCGAATCTTAAATAGATCATTTTTAATGGATTTCGGATTTTTTTAAGATTGAATAAATTTTTTTTATTATAATATGGACTTAAAACTTATCATCTGAGTCCTGTTTTATATAAGTTTTGGACTACTCAGCTTTAAACAGATATTTTTTTAATAAAATTTTAAAATAAAAACCTCATAATATTTATTATTAATGAGATTGAAAATTATATTATTTTAAACATAATACATTTTTTAAGTATTATATTATCTTTTATAAATAATATAATGTGTTTTTAAATACAACGCGTGTCTAAATTATATAAAATAATACACGAATATTTAACATAAAAGAAACTAATAGAATATGAGAAAATAATGTTGATTATATTAATGTATAAGATTTAAAAGACAAAGATTGAATAGAATAGATATGAAATTAAGTGACATAAGAAAAATCAATGTGTTATTTTGGGAGTAAGATAATATAAGTATTGATATGATTTTTTAAAACTTTATAGCATTGTGGGCCTAATGGACTACTCAATAGGGGTGGCAAAACGGGTTGTGGCCCGACAGACTGCCCCGCGAACGCGCCAAAAAATGGCGGGTTGGGTTGGAATTTTGGGCACGCCTAACCTGCCCCGCTTTAATCTTGCCTCGCCTTAAACCCACCAAAAAAGGGGGGGGCTGGCGGGCCAGCCCGCCAACGTAGTCATCAAGCACTAAAATATTTTTTTTTGTTGTTGGTCGAAGATTAATACTTAAACTATATTTTGGAATACTTGTTGATGATTCAATTTTATACATTTATTTGAGAATATATGCAATATTTGTTTAAGTAAAATTTGTTAAAAAAATATTTTATAAAAAATTATTCTAAAAAATAAGTGAAAATCTAACTATATATGACAATGACTAGGATTTAGACAGACTACTATAGTACTCATCCTCATATCTGCAAATGGGGAAAAAAATCGTACCCGAGTTCAGACCCGCTTTGACATAAACTTTAGCACCTGTATCCGTGCCTTGTGAGTATGTAAATACCCGTTACTCGAATTTCTAATAAAAATAAGTATATCAATTATAAAATATTATCGTTTTAAGTTTTTAAGAACATTAAAAAGTTTTCAAAAACTATTGTGTCGAATTATGAAATAAACAAACACATTTATTAAATACTTAATTGTTTAACACTTAAGTATTTTTTCAAATTGATAGGAATATTTTTTTATGAAATAAGATAAGTTGAAATATATATAAATATATATAGTGTGTGGGTATGGGGCGGATTAGGTACTAAGGTGCTCATACCCGCACACATACCCGCTTAATTTAGTGGGTAATTACCTGAGCTCATAC